ACCTTTTACAGATATACTCTATTTGAAATTTTTACATATATGCAACAATGTGTGTACGTGTATGTAAAATTTCAGATATACAGTGTAACCCGGATATAAGAGAGTTGTCGGGACCGGAGAAGAAGTCTCTTATATCAGGGTTTGGTCTATTTTGTTTAGGTAACACAGGCTCTAATTTGGGACCAGAGAAAATCTCTCTTATATTCGGGTTTCTCTTATATCCGGGTTACACTGTAACTAAAAATATATCTGTAGTGTAAAAGAATAAAAACAAAAAGGGAAACCTATCTTAGCCAACATGTTTCGTCCTCTGATGGACTCTACATTTTGCAAGAAGTATTTATAAACAAAAGTAAAAATGATGTTAGTTTTTTTTATATTTACGAGAATTTTTTTTTTAAATTTTAAACACTAATGATATTTTTAGAAAGGAAAAATAAATCTGACCAGTTTATTTCTGAAAAATAAAGTTTTTAATAAACAAATAAATTAAATAGGGAAAATAAGTCTCACTCAATAATTTATTTTATTTTATTAACATATATAAATATATATATATATATTCTTAATTGTTTTTATTCTGTCTCCAAGAAACTTGATAAAATTTAATGATTCTTATATGATTATTGATTTTATAAGATATTTTTCAATCTCTCAAGCAGAAAAATGTAGAGATGGGTAATATTTTCTATATTCAGCAATTTCTAATAATCTTGATGTCATCAGAGTCACCTAAGTTGGCTTTTCTTTTTATAGTTAAATTCTGACAAAAATCCATTGCTTAGTGGTTAGGATAATGAGGGTAGAGTATATTGCTCATCTAGTGTGAACTTTTTATGTTTCTACATGTACATTGTTTAGTAAACATGATCTATACCCTTCAAGACACAATTGTATTATTATGTGTCAAAAATAGGAAATGATAAGATTGAATATATAGTAAAATTTAAACTTACAATGGATTTATTTTACCTTCTATAGATGGTTGAAATGGCTTTCACTTTCAGTAAAAGTTGAGTTCATGAGAATAAAACTTGTCATTGAATTATAATATTGTCTTTAAAGATAATGAATGGTAGGAGGATGTTGTAGTTTATTCAGATAATTATAAAGTTGATGTGTTGAGTTAAAGAGCAACTATGAGATAAGTGAATGTTCTATTGATTTGAATGATTCAAGGTATCACAGATTTGGTAACAAGTGATGCTTTGGAAGTATTGACGCTATTTCTTTGCATATTTTTTTTATAATGGCTTATATATGTCCCAAAGAAAGGGTTTAAAAAAAAGCTTTAAGACTTCAGCAGGACATTTGGTTAGAAAATACAATTTAATAATTTTGTTACAAAATATTGGGCAAACTTGAATATTTGTACCCGTAAGAAAGCAGAATTGCAAAAAGGATGGTTTTTCTATTAACACTGCTATTATTTTAACTACCTTCACTCCTCAACAATGTTTATTGTTTTATAAAACAATGATTAGAATTGTAATAAAATCTAAGCATGAAAGTGAAATTATACATATTTTTGTTGTTGAGAATTGACAATGAAAATAATAAACACTATTTATTTATCAGATTGTTCATTTACACTATTATATTAGATTGTTTATTGGAATGGTTGGCAAAACATTGGTTAATTGCCAACTGATTCAAACTTTATAAAATGGTAAATAATAAGGATTTCTTTATAGTTGGTTCACATATTTTAATTTTGTAAATGTTTATAAATTTATGAACAAAAATTTTTCATATTTATTTCTTTATAAATTGGTAAATGATAAATATTACATTGCATTAGTTTTAATTGTATTAGTTTTTAGAATGTATATATAAAATTATTCTTGTAAATATTAAACACTATTTATTAGATTATTATCTAATAAATGAATAGTGTTTAGTATTTTTGTTGTAAATTTTCAAGAACAAAATATGTATAAATTCACTTTCATTGTATATTTAAATTTCATTACATTTCTAATCATCATTCTTTTAAAACAATAAATATTACCAAGGAGTGAGGGTAGTTAAAATAATAGTGGTGCCAATGGAAAAACCATCCTTTTAACATTCCATTTTTTTGCAGACATAAAAGTCCAAGATTGCTAAAATTTTTTACTGTTCCAAACATTTCTCTTGATCCCTGTTATTGAACAAAAGTGAAACTGTCCATTCTTCATTTGATTTTTGAAAAGCAAACATCCTCATAATACAAAGTAAATTGATAATGTTTTACTTTATGTTTCTACTATAAAACAATTCCTTATTGAAGTTTCTTTCCTATTTTTAATAGACTGTTTATGTTGCCAATTATATAATTATAAGGAATTTCAATGAAAATCAGTAGTTATATAGTTTACTAGAATAAATGTTGTGGCAAACCAGTTTTTCAACATGAAAATTTAAAATTGTTTAATTTTCAAGAAAATATATTACTGATACTCAGATTACTCTCTTTCATACTTTTGATGTACAGAAGAGACATTCACCACAAAATTGCTTGCCCTAGTGTTGCAGTAAAGTTAGTAATTATTCTCTACTGCTGCTACCATGTAACCCAGTACTACATGCCACATTTTTTTCTACAGAAATACCATACAGCCATCCCAATGGTCTCTTCTTTTTTCATTTTTGGTTATATTTAAGATAAAATTTCATTGAACAATTTGGTAACTAATTTTTCAAAATCCAGGTATAATTTCATTGAAACACATTTTGTTACCTATTGGCTTATTGGAAAAAGAAAAATGTTCAAAACATAAAATGTGACATTTCTATTTTAAAATGACCATAAGAATTAGTGAATACATGAATACAAATATTGGTATCTTTTGCAACAACAGTTCTAAGTTCTCAAACATATGTATGAACAATTTTTATGCTAACACAAACTAAAAAAAAGAGAAAAAAAACACTAAAAAATGAAAAATATGATCAAAATAAACCTTGCCTGTGGTCATTAGCAAAATCTGATTGTGTGTGTATGTACACATGTTTAAAAAACTTCTCAAAATAAAATAAATACTTCTACGGTTTCAATTAAATATTCACAAAAGAGAATTTGCTATTAAAAACTCTAGTCAAAATGAGGACATCTTTATTCAAGTTCCCACTAAAATATACAGGTGTTTTATGTGACATCCACAAGAAGATGCTTTCAAATTCTACCAATGAACATTTATCACTGACTCTGACCAATACTAAAAACATATTCTTTGCTGTTTTCCAGACCAAATTAAAAATAAATAAATTCAAAAATGTAACAAAAAAAAATTATTCAAATCTAAACATTTTCTGTATCTAAGTTATTTCTTTTTTTCAGAATTGACTTAAAGTATCCCTTGACACTTGTTTTACTTTTAAGGAATTAAAGAAATCTGATTTCTTGGCCTCAAGGTACGTTTTAATTTTGCAACTCACCAATATTTTTTTTTAATAGCGTGAGTAAATATTTTATAACATTATGAAATTATTTATAGTGTACAAAATGGCAATCTAGCAGCTAGATTGATACTTATTTAAAACCTAAAGTTTAAAGTTTACATTAAAAATTGATTAAAAAAGAAATTTATTAAATTTAAAAATAGTTGAATTTTTTCTTCTTTAAGGACTGTTTGAAAATCATCTCTCATTAACCTTTTATTTTACAAATAGAATTATTGAATAATTAGAGTTGTTTCATTTAACGTCCGAAATGTTCTTCACATACCAAATACTGTATTACTTCCCTTAGATTAACTGTATTTACCTCGTTTTGAATAGCCATAAAGAGAAATAAGTCTACTTCTGTGACAACAAAAAAATTTCGATTTATGAATTGAATTTAAAAAAGGTCCTTTGAATAAAGTAATGCATCAGAAATGAAACATTATTAAACTAAAATAGCGTCCGAATGCAATATAATTTTATTTTATTTTATTTTTTTGACCAAGACAGGCTAAGCTACATGAATTCAAATTGGCGTGGAAAATAAATCACTATATATTATTTCTTAATTTGTTTTCTTCCAGTTTTGACATGCCTCGTCGTTTCGCGGATCCGGGTTTCCAAAATCTGACGATACACTACTACAGTTTACTTTAAAAAATGCAGTACGAGGTGGAAAATTACTTCAGAATGTAAAGCTAGTTAAAGTTTACAAATTTTTTAAGTTTTATTAATCACAAATTTTTTTTTCATTTTTAATCACAAAAGTTTGATTTTTTACATTTTTTTTTTTTTTAACATTTATGGAAGAAAATGTGCGCTCAGAATACGAGCTGATTTAAACTATAATCTGAGGGAGGTAAATCAGTATTTGGTATGCGGAAACGATTCGGATGTTAAAAAAAGATATCCGAACATTTTTAAAAGAATTACTGTTTTAAACTGATGATCCTTTAGTTTTCAAATGCGAATTCAGCAGTGCATCAAACCCAAGTATCTTGAATTCATTTAATAGCCAATGAAATAAAATATAATTGAATAAGAAAATAATTAGTAAATTTTTAGCTAATTCTTTATGATTTTGATTTGCTTCTTTATTTTTGAGTTTCACGATATGCACTACATCTTTTCGGACCCTGACCTGTTGACTTCCGCTAACAGCTTTTAGGAGCAAAATAGAAAAATAAAATTTCTCTTATCCTAATTATTAGAACAATACGCCACCATATAAAAACCTAATTTATTTTTATACTCACCACCATATGACCAGATTAAATATTTTCGCACAATTTATTTTTTAAAACTGCAGAAATACGGGAAGCCACTTTCATTGTGGCGCCCCCTTGCAGCTGACAACAAGGGTAAGTAACTCTTCATGTCTGAGATAGTTGAGTGTCGTCTTGCTTTACAACGAAAGCTGCTTGCATGCAACACATAAAACAGGGTGAAGACGACAAAACGCAAGCAGAATCTGCCCCAAACCAATTTGTGGAGGCAGTAACAAAACTAAACTCACCCAACTCATCCCCTCCGAGAAGGTGAAATAACCGAGAAAAAAAATATAACGAAGCAAGATGAACTCCAACCAAAGCGGAGCAGGTAGCAGCATGGGATCCGGGGAAGTATATACCTGCGACTACAAGGCCGGGGACACGGGAGCTGCCGGTGCGATTAGCCTCAAGATTTTGGTACCTAACGCTGTTGCTGGGGCTATTATTGGTAAAGGAGGAGAGACGATAGCCCGGGTCCAGAGCGAAGCGGGGGCCAAACTGAAGATGTCAAAGTCGAACAACTTCTATCCAGGCACCACGGAAAGGGTGTGTTTGATAACTGGGCCGTTTGAAGCCGTCCGTAAAGTGCATAACTTCATAATGGAGAAAATCCGCGAAAAGCCCGAGTTAAACCCGAAATACGAGGACTACCGCGGTCCATTTGAACGACACCAACAGGTGAAGATTTTGGTTCCGAATAGTACAGCTGGGATGATCATTGGAAAAGGCGGCAACTTTATCAAGCAGATTAAATCTGAAAGTGGAGCTTCAGTTCAGATATCCCAAAATCAGAAGGGTACGTATATTCCCGAACGATGTGTGACAGTTGCTGGGGACGTGGATGCAAATAGAAATGCAGTTGAAATGATCTTACGAGTCATTGCTGAAGATCCCCAGAGCGGCTGTTGTCCCAATATAAGCTACGCCGATTTCGTGGGTCCCATTGCTAGTTCCAATTCCAACACTCTGCCATTTACTCACATCAATTTCAGGAACCAGGAACAAATGGGAATGACCGCTAATAACAATTTAGGAACATTCAATTTCGGTTTCAACAACAACAGTTTCAGCAACAATTCCAACACTAGTGCTGTGTCTAACATGGGTGTAAGCACGGCTAACCTTGGAGGTGGGGGTTCAAGTGGGGGTGGTGGTAATGCTGCTGGTGGAAGCATCAATAGTACAGCACTGGAGAATCTAAAAGCTACTCTCCGTGGTTGTGGTTTCTCAGAGTTGGCAATTGAAGAAATAGGAGCTGCCATGAACACCCTTGCTAGTTATGGCATTCTGACCAGCATTGGATTGAGTCTTGGAGGACTTGGCAATCTAGGTGCTGGAGGTGGAGGAGGACTTAACTTAAACCTTCAGGGCTTGCAGGGATCAACTATGATGTCAGGATGTAACACACCCACCACCAGTGTCAGCAACCCCTTTATGAATAACTCAAATAACAACTGTGTATTTGGCCCCGTCGGTAGTTGTCCCTCAGCCATGGAAAATTTTACATCCACTTGTGCAAGTTCAAGTCCTTTCAATAATTCTTCAGCAAACATCAACAGCGAACGATTCGGTGGCAGTCCTATGCTCAGTGACTCTTTCAGCACTACTGTCAACTATTCCCTGAACAACGCACTGTTTGCTGGTGGTCCCAGTTCTTCTGGTGACCAGATGAAGAACCAGATGTCTTTTGGTCACAATTCACCTATGTACAGCCCAGCTGAAGACAAGTCGGGACCAGCTACAAAGAATGAAATTGAAGTTGCAGAAACAATTGTAGGTGCCATCCTTGGGCCTGGTGGCAAAGGCATTGTTGAACTTCAACAGTTGACAGGTACAAACATACAGATCTCCAAGAAAGGTGTCTATGTCCCTGGCACCCGCAACAGGGTCGTTACCATCACAGGCACACCAAACAACATCTCAAAGGCTCAGGTCCTTATCCAACAGCGTCTTCAGCAAGAAGAGATGAAACGTGCTCGACAACCCCAAGTCCGTTAAAACTTTTCTTTATGTTGTTTATGTTAGGCTGGGAAAATAATCTTTCAAAGCAGATTTCAATTATTGGTTCATTTTGAGTTTTAAACAAATAACTTAAAAAGAAAAAAACAAAAAAAATAAATAAAACGAATGAATGGAAAAAAAACTATTTTAGATTAGATTATTTTAGCTGTTGTTAAATGTCAGTTGGCCAATGTTATTAGCCAGTCACTTGTTTGATTCTTAAATCTTATAGCATGTTTAATTATGTTTATTTTAAACACTATTCTTAATAATAACCACATTGTTGGGATCTGAAGTCCAATGGTTTTCATAACATTTTTCTTAAGCTGTCTGACAGTTGAAGTTTGTGGGAGGTAATCATCACTTATCATTAATTCACACCCAATCAACAACAAATGAAAAGTACCATAAAACTATTCATTATTGAAACTCTAATTGAATGGTTTTATGTTAGTCTCATTCTGTTTGTTTTTTTTTCTTTGTTTTTGTTTTTTATCAATGATGATGCTGTCCCCACCATAAACCTGAAATTATAAGCAAGATTTAGCTACAGTCTTTAAAAGATTTTCTGTCCACAACAAACATGTTAATTATTATTTGAGTTAATCAAACATTGTTCAAATATATATATATATATATATATATATATATATATATATATATTTTTTTTTTTTTTTTTTTTTGAATGTTTTCAAATGTTGTTGATGTGTGTGAAATATTTTATCTTTTTCCAAAAAATCTTTTTTGTCACTTGCATGATTTTAATTTATTTTAATTTGTACATTTTGAATATTCCATAATCCTAATTGAAATTTTTGTTTTCATTCAGCTTTTTTATTGGGTATGCATCAACTTGTTGATTACATTAGGTGATTTTTTTTTTTGCATTTAATTATTCTAACAACATATTTTTCCTTGTGTTAAAAGAAGTTGAAATTATCTAGATTTACAAAACATAATATTAACGTGAATTTCTGCTTGAAATCTCAAGCAAGTTCTATAAATGTATTTTGGAATTGTAATAAACATACATTCTAAATTAGCACTTGATTGATGCTAAAATTATATGTCTGTGTATATATGCATATGTATACACATACATATACACATTTATATACATATATAAATAGTACAAGCTATCACTAGACAAGCATTGTATAGAAATGTGTATGTATCTATGTACAGATACAGAGGTGTATGCACACGTGTGTGTCTGTATATATGTATTTATACACACATTTACACATATATAAATATATATTTACACTCGTATATATACATATATACACACTTATACAGATTTATGTAGACATATATACACATTTTTATATATGTATATACACACAGACACACACACATATATTTACATATATATACACATTTACATTTTATATATATATATATATATATATATAAAACTCAAACCTAATATTTCATGGTTATAATTTATTACATTGGCATCATAATCACAAACCAATTGATCAGACCTACAAATTAAAAAAGAAAACAGAAAATATATCTCCGGGTTAAACACAAAATTTTGTTTTTTTTTAAACGTGGAGATATATTTTTTTTTTTGAATTTGTAGGTCTGATGAATTAGGTCGTGATTACGATTCCAAAGTAATAAATTATAACCATGAAATAAATAGTGTTTGGAGCCTTTATATTATTCTTGCTGTCTTTGACATAGAGTTCTACCTGGGTTTTATCCTCTTGGAAATATATATATATATATATATTTATTTATATATTTACATATATATTTACATATATATATATATATATATATATATATATATATATATATATATATATATATATATATATATTTATATATTTACATATATATATATATATTTATTTATATATTTACATATATATATATATATATATATATATATATATATATATATATATACACACACTCACACATTTATATAATATATATACCCACACAGATATGTATATCTTTTCAAAGAAATCTTCCAAGCAAATAAATATCTCTCAAATCTCAAAATGCTGGTCATTGAACTTATAGCCTTTAAATATCAGCTCTATTAATATTATTATTATTAGATATGCAGATATCAGACAATTTTTCTGAAATAGGAACCTGATTTGGAACCTTTCAATTTTTCAATTGTTAACACTGCATTTTTCGAAAATTGCTTTGTAAAATTGTACGTTATCAAAAAGATTATCATATTCATGCAGCCACAACACATTTTCTTTTGTTTAAAATGGAGAGAAATCATGATTATTACAATTCAGAATGATGTATGCATTTGTGTCTATTTAACATAAATATATTATTATAACATATACATAGATGTCAGTCTAATTTGCGCGGGGATTGGGCATTATGTAGATTGTTGATTTTGCATGTATAAAGATCGTGGTATTTTGCAAACAAAACTTTGAATTGTAATAATTTGTTCTTCATCTACATGAGCACACTGTCTTTCTTTTCAATGTGCATTCAACTAATTAACTAAACTGGTGATGTCAGTTTTTTTGGGTTATTTTTTTTTTAAGATCAAGATTGCACCTTGTCTTATTACTGTTTAAATTGTTGCAGTGGGTGTCATGGCTCATGTGGTAAAGACATAACAATTTTTTTCTTGGCCAGCCATATTAGTAACCTCTTAGTTCAGGTTTCAAATCTGGGAAATGCCATCTAAACTTTGGGCAAGTCTTTCACACCTCATGCCCACTGTGGTCAGTCCATTTGTATACTTGTAATATTCCCAATACTGAATGCTATAGATATCAGAGTTTTAACTTGGGTGATTTTCTTCTTTATTATTTTTTTTTTTTTTTTTTTAATGTAATCTTTTTGTTTTTGTATGTTATTATATATTCGGAGAATTCCGGCTGTATTGTTCTTGAATCTTGTGAGGAATGGCATACTAATGGTAATGGTGATGTTAAAATCAGTTATAAATGTTTCAACCAAATCCATTTTTTTTTTCTCTCTCTTTTTCTCTCAACAATATGGGGTTTACTTTACACACACGCACACATATTTTCATTGATACTCTTTCACACTTCATTCCAAAGTTAAAAGAAACAAAAAGGTTCATAGTTTTATTCCCTGTCATTTTTTTAATGGCCAATGGTAATCCATCCCATGATATTTGTTTTCTTTTTATCTTACAATTTCTTGTGCATAAAGATGTTTTTTCCATTCATACCCACTCATCTAGCATGTAAAGAAAAAATTAAAACAAAGGAATGGCTAAATGTTTTTTTAATGGAATTGCCAATCATAAAGATAAAAAAAAAAAGTTTTTAATTCAATGATGTGATCCCACCAGGTGCAATATTTTTGGATTGCTCAGTTTTTGCATGGCAACCCATTGTCTTTTTCTTTGTATTGTACTCTCTTGTTACACTTTCATTAATAAACATTCATTATAAATATTACAAATAGCAGTTCTTAAGGAATGGCTTTTTAACTGTTTCAAGTAAATTATTTCAAAAGTTTTGTTTTCTAATATTTAACTTTTTTTAATTAAAATATTTAATTAAAGAAATACATATTAGTTTAAATATTGGTATCTTTGAAAGTGACTGCATATGTAAATCATTTTTGGCTTAACTTGAAATATATCTTAGCAAAAAAAAAAAAAAAAGCAAGTCTATGTATCAAATCTGCTATTTAAAAAACAGAAAATTTTCATCGTTTTCAGTTAATGACTAATTTTATTCATTAGTGAGTAGTGTTGAAAAGTCTAAAATTTCTAAAGGAAATGTGTAGGCAATGCAAAAGGGGCAAAACCTCAATCTTCCCAAGTGGGCAGTCCACACTCTACTGTTAAGAGATTATACATGGAGTGCTCCAAAAGTATCACCTCCTATGTATTTCAATGGAAACTATAACTTACAGGAGGCACCATTGGATAGAGCAAATTTTCAGCTAAAAGCACTATTTTTCCACATAATCATCACCCTTGGCTATGCATGATATATTTGTAATTGCCACTGCTGAAACATATTACTCACTACCTAACTTTGATCGCATTCACTGTTTAGTCACTATAAACATTCAGCAAGTGTCAGGGAATGTCAAAGGGTGTAATTTTTTTCCCCACATGGTGGAATTCAGTGATAACCTCTGCTTTATACATACTTTCATGTCAGATGCCATTTTGTCTTCCTGCTATTGACAACAAGACAATTAAAAAATCATGGGTTATTGATGGGAAGGTTCAACTTCTACTGCCATACCACTAATATCTGCCTCTGATGTTGTAGGCCAACATAATAAAATAGGAGGCATTACTTTTGGAGTGACCCTTGTACACTGAGAAATTGGATAAGGAATTTTTTTTTTTCCAGATTGACTTAGATATTTTAAATCTTTATTTATGCTTGCTTCTATTGAAAACAAATGACCAAAGTGAATCTGAGTCTTTCCTCCTGGTGGCTTGTGAAATTAAGGTTGTTTCTTTTAATTATATTATCTTATTCCGTGCCATACTAAAAAAAATTCTCCCTTACACCAAACTTCTTACGAAAAGTCTAATAATTCTGAAATCATTTTCTTTTTACATAGTTTATTTGATATCCATATAATTTGCATTAATCATTACCTATAAAATGTAGACTGTTAATTTTTTAGATGTGGAATAATCAGCTATAGCTGAAAAATAATCTGTAGTCACTACAATTATTGGAAAATTTTAAAATAGGTGAAATATATTTAAATTAGCAGTCAACGTCTAAATCTTCATTAATTGAAGGCATGAAGCTGGATAGAAAAGTACCAATAAAAGAAAAAAAAAGATAAAATTAAGTTTTTGTATATTATAATTATCTGTTCAAACTGTTCTTTTGACTTTTCTGCACTAATGATATCGTCCATTGCTAGAATAAGCAAAAACTGAGAGGGTCATCTGCACCCAAACATATTACATAACTCATTCTTTAAAATAAATCTTTGGAGACTTGCTGTCATTTTCTTTTTTGTTATTGACTGGTAAAATGACATAA